AGACACCACACACACACACACACACACACACACACACACACACACACACACACACCCTCTTGTCAATAGAGCAACTCCCAACGTCAGGACTTCCACTCCCATCCATTCTCTCCTACTCCAAGGTTCATGGAAACAAAGAGATTCTTGACAGGAAGTAGGACAAAATGGCAAGGAACCTAAAGTCTAAACTCAAAATATATGTCAGGTCAGGAAAGAAAGTGAATAGAAGCTACAGCAGGATGGATGGGAGTTAGACATGAGGAAGGGCTTAGTTAGGAGCAGCAAAAGAGGCTGAATCTTATCTCCTTTCTAGAATGCTCCCTGCAGGCTGGATATGTGTTGAGGGGCAGTGAAGCCAAGAATGGGAGGCAGGAGCCCAGTTGGAGAAGCTTACCCAGAATGCTGCTCTCAACACAGACATGGTCCAGCAGCTTGGCTCCTGGCCATTGGCCCACTGCCCGGCCCAGGGCCTCAGAGAACACATCCTCACCAATGTCTTCCCCTCGCACACTCAGGGCCTGGCCTAGCCTGAGGAGGAGGAAGGGGAGGAAGCAGAGTCCAGAGTAGAAGGATGGCCGCCCTCAGCTCCCAGGGATCGGGTTCACATACCTGCAGACAAACCTGACAACTGGACACTCGTTGTAGGCACCAACCACTTGGACTACCTCACCCAGGCGGCACCTGATGGGATCAGAGGAGGGGTGATATCAGACTCAAAGACCCATTAGTTCCCGCCTATAGTCCCACCAAGGGCCCTGGAACGCCAGGAGTCATCGCGTGATCACCTGGTCAGGGTGCTGCGGTCAGTCAGCACCAGCTCATACGTCATACCCTCCTGGGCCTCGTCCAGCAGGATTGTGGAGTCAGCCTCCTCTTTGACTGGGAGCAGCTCAATGAAGGGAGCTCCAGGCGGGAGAAGGTAGAGCCCTGGAGGCTGCTCCGGCCACAGGTTTAGGCCCATTACCCCTAGAAGAGCAAGCAGCTACTTCACTGGTGCTTCCTGCAAGGCAGCCTCCCTCAGCCTGGAGCCCAGGCCCCCCTCCTCTGAGTACCTGATCACTCTGCTGCCCTTCCACCCCGTCTTTCATGACTCCCCCAGGTTCTCACTGGCAAGCAGCAGAGTGTATGGTTTTGGAAGTATAGACACAGGTTCAATCTAAGAGCTGTATGAGTTGGTCTTAACCTCACTGAGCCTGTAAAATGGCCCTGCTAATCCCCACTGCTGAGTCTACATAATATGGCCTCTGGCCCTGCTCCCACCTCATTCCCTCTGAGCCCTGCTGACCTCCAGAAGCAGCATAAGCAGGCGAGAAGAAGGCCAGCCCTTCACACCACAAGGCTCCTAGGGCAGCCCTGGCTTCTGTCTGGCCTCCAGAGTCCAGAGTCACCACCACCTGCAGCTTTGGCCAGAGCCGGAGGGCCAGTCCTCGGGGTCCCTGCTGCAGGGCCTCCTGTAGATCTGCTGCCCGACTGGGGAGAGCCACTCCTGGGTTTCCTGCAGCTACTGCCTTGGCCAGCTCTTCCCCATCAGCCTCCAGGACCAAGAAGACATCCAGCAGTTCCACTGCGGTCCTGGCCTCCAGCACCCTCAGCTCGGGGCACCTCAGAACCTCCAGCAGCAGGGCCTTAGGGTCCCTGGTTCCAGGGGAACTGACATGGCCCAGAACATGCACAGGCCATGGGAGAGGGCTGGGCCAGGGGGATGTGGGGGTCACACAAGCACTACTTCCTGGAGCCAGCACTTCTGGGTGTGCCCTTTTGAGGGCTGCCAGACCCAGCAAAGTAGCCTGGAGGGAGACAAAAAGGTTGGCCTTGGGTTTGACCCTAGCCCCCAGTTTGGGGGTCATTTGCCAATTCTGACGGAAAGGTTTGCTGCAGGCAAGACCCTCTGATGGAGCTGGGGCCCGTTTACCTGCAGAAAGGCCTCCCCACAGTACTGGCTTGTGGTGGGGGCCAGGAGCTGCCCTCCACTTTCTTCCTCTTGGGGCTGGCTGACCGTGGTCAGAGGGAGGCAATTCCGGAAGGTGCTCGGATCTATATCCCCAAAGACCCCAGAAACGTCACATGAAGCCATAGAAATTCCCAAGAGTTTCAGGCAAAGGGAGACGGGGGCGGAACCTGAGCTGAATCTGGAGATGGGGGCCATAAGGACCAGGGATGGGGAATTTCAGTCCTAGGTCTAGTATGCACTGTCCACTTTCTGCATGTGTGTGCATAGAACGAGGGTCTGAATCCCGCTGCCTCCTCCCTGACCCTGAGGACACACCTGTGTCCCCCGCGAGTGGGCAGTGGGGGCGCTGGGCTCCCCAAAGACACCATCTCAAGGCCTGCTGCTGGCTCTGCCCCACACGCTGGGTGCTTCGCTCCAGTCGCCACTGCTGCCAAGCTGCTGCCCAGCCCAGGATCCCCCAGGCCACACGGTGCTGGAGGCTTCTAAGCCAGGCCAGCCTGCTGGCATCCTGGGAGCGCGGCTGCCACAGGGCGGCCAGTGGCAGCAGCAGGAGCAGCGGCAGCAGCAGCAGGACTCGAACCAGCAGCATCTCCAAGCAGCTCCTGCCAGGAAGAGGTGCGAGGACTAGTATTAGGGGGATGAGGCACACTCCATTTCTTCTTCATACCCAGGAAAATCAAGGATAGACTGGGCAAAAGCCAAAGGCCTTGGCCAAGAAAATGATGTTGAGAAGAAAACATCAAGACTGGGTCACACCGACTTGAGTTCAGATCCTGTCTCTGCCACTTGTTAGTCTGTCCTTGGATAATTCAGCTAGCTGCTCAGGGCTCCATTTCCTTATCTGTAAGATGGGCATGATCATACCTCCCTCAGAAGGTTGTGGGGTGGTGGACTATGAGGACTTGACACACAGTGGCAGAGTGGACGTTCAAACGACAGCTCTAGCCTCCGCCCAAGTGGCTCTGCTTTCTCTCAAGACCCATCAGATCCCCGCTCCGTGTCCCTCCCAGAGCCCTCATGCACCTGTCACAGCGGGCTTCTGCCAACTTCCAGCAAGCATCTAAGGCCCCTGTGCCTTTCAAGTCTCAGGACACATCCGGCCCCCAAAGCAAGAGTTCACTTTAAAGGGCTGGGCTTAGCGGGAAATCCGGCGCGTGAGGGTGGAGCTTGGGGGGGGCCTTAAAGGGACAGGCTACCTAAGGGAGGCGGTGCCCTGCCAGGTCTCGGAAGGACAGATGGGGGACGTTACAGAGTCAGGTTAATGTATGGAAAACTTTCCACTTATGAAGCAGCTTTGTCTGGGAGAGTGAAGGGAGCAGGTTCAGAACGATGTGAGCGCGGACAGAGGTGAACGCTGCCGTTACCTCTGAGCTCAGGGCGGGCATGGGTGTGTGGCTGCTGAACAGGCAAGTGGCAAAATTGGGAGGGGAGCGCGGGAAGCGAGGACAAGGGAAGCACAGCGTGTCCTATTCAGCCTCTGTTTGTATTATCAGCTGCTAGTCCAAGACTTTCCCCCATTTCTTCTCACCCATTCCACGTTTGGCCCCCAAATTTTAAACACCTAGAGAAAACAGTGACCACCAGATGGCAAATTCCTCATCTTCTCAATGCCCATCTCTATCTCCAAACAGCCTCCTACGACTTGTCAAATGTCATTCACGGAATCCGGGTGCTGGTTAGAATGCAGAATCGCAGGCCAGGACCCAGACAGGAATCTAAGTCATAATCTGTGTTCTAACCAGAGGTCGATCACAACACGATTTGTAGACCTTTTCTCAAATTTTGAAAGTGTAAAAAAACCAAATCCCAAACCCTCAAACATGTTGTTGTTGTTATGTGCCGTCGAGTCCTTTGCGACTCATAGCGACCCCATGTACAACAGCCCTAAACCGTGCTCTATCCTGTGCCAATCTCATTGCCTCTGACACACCCATCCCGAGTACCATAGGAGGAAAAAAATTTTATCTATTTATAGCAGTATTGCACCCTTCATGTTGAGTCGCACCCAACTCTAGTTGGCCCTCTAGCAGGTTTTCAGAGGCACTAGCTCGCGTGAGAGGAGATTGCCCATCCTTCTCCTGCAGAGATGCTGGTGGATTCGAACGCATGCCTTTGAAATTACAGCGCAGCTTCTTATTGCTAGGCCACCAGAGCTCCCTTTACAAAGTCTAGTCAGCCCCTTATGGTGTTCTGCCTTTCTCTTCACCCAATTTTTCTGTTTCTTTTTATCCCCTCCTTCCCTTCCCATCCTTGTTACCCCTTGAGTCTATATGTAAACCTTTCTTTCTCTTTTTTTAAAAATTTTTTTTATTATTTTTGTGTGAGTGTACCGTCAAATCAGATCTGACTGGTACAGGAGGAGATTGTCTCTCCTTCCCCGGCAGAGCATCTGGTGGATTCGAATCATGTGCCTCTGGGATTGTAGTTGCAGCTCCTTGCCACTAGGCCACCAGAGCTCCCCTTCTTTTTATAAGAGTGTTATACTATAATTTTTTTGTGTGATTGGTATGTATATGTCACTCAATATAATTTGTTCTAGATTAGTGTATATTGTGCAGGATTTCACAAATTCTTGATAGTTTTTTAGTAATGCATAATATTTCTTTAGCCATTCATTCACTGATGGACACTTGGGTTGTTTCCAACACCTTGCTATTGTAAATAATACTGCAATAAACATGGGTGTGTGTATGCCAGTTGGTGTCACAGCAACTAATTCTTTGGGATATCTACCTAGTAGTGGTACCGCTGAATAAATAGCGTTTCTATTCCCAGCTTTCTAAGGAAGTGCCAAATTGCTTTCCACAGTGGTCACATCACTATGTGTGAGTGTTCCTATTCCCCTACACATTTGTCAGTATTTGTTTGCTATCTTACTGAACTTTGCTGAGGATGCGGAAGTGAGATGCTATCTTATTGTTTCAACTTGGATCTAATAGCTGATGAATGATCTTGAATATTTTTTCAAGTGTTTGTTGGCCATCTGAAGTGTCTATTCATTGGCTAGGTTTTAATTTCTCTTGGAGTAGAATTGCTCGTCATAGTGCTTAATCAACTGAGGAATTGCTGAATCATTTCTAAAGCATGTGTACCATTGAAATTTCCACCAGCAATGTAGGAAGGCTCTGACTTATTCACATTCACTTATCTGACTTTTTGTTACAGCCATCCTAAAGGATGTGAAGTGGTATTTTATTGCAATTTAAATTTACAGTCCTCTGATGAATAATGAATGATGTTGAGTATTTTTACAGATGTTTATTGTCCTGGAGAGGGTTGAACGAGGCTGCTCCTTGGAGGCAAGGGTTCTGAAGCTTTGTCTGACACACTTTGGGCATGTTGCAAGGAGGGACCAGTCCTTGGAGAGGGACGTCACGCTTGGGAGGGTGGAGGGACAGCGCAAGAGAGGAAGATCCTCGATGAGATGGATTGATTCAGTGACTGGGTGTGTCAGAGAGTAAGATTGGCACAGGAAAGAGCCAGGTTTAGGGCTGTTGTATGTTGGGTTGCTATGTGTCTCAAGCACCTCAACGGCACATACAACAACAAGCAAATAGCAGTTTATATATCTTCTTTGGGGAAGTATCCATATTATTTTTTAAAAAATTTTTTAAAGTTTTTTTTCATATTCTCTGCCCATTTAAAAATTGGTTATCTTTTTATTATTAAGTTGTAAAGATTCCTTACAATTTAAAGGACTTCTGGTGGCCTAGTGGTGAGAACTTACGCTACAATTCCAAAGGTATGTGGTTTGAACTCACCAGCTGCTCTGCGAATGAAGGCTGGGCAATCTCCCCTCATGTCATTTACTGCTATGAAATCCTGCTGGAGGGTCAACTATGGGTAGGTTGTGACTTGATTCGTACATAACAACAAGAGTTCTTCATGCATTTTGTATGTAAGTCCACCATCATATGGCCTAATGGTAAGAAATTGTGCTGCAATCCCAAAGGCAAGTGCTTTGAATCCACCCGCTAGCTGCTCCGTGGAAGGATGGGCGATTTCCTCCTGTGCGATTAAATGGCCTCTGAAAACCCACTGGACCGTCCGTTACGGGTCAGTTCTGACTTGAGGGCACACAACATCAGATATGTAACCTGCAAATATGTCCTCCCATTGTGACTGCTAGGTGTGTGACTTATCCATCATTTTACTTTCAGTTTATTTCTATGACTGGGGTAATTGGGATGGGTGTGTCAGAGGCAGTGCAGTTGGCGCACGATAGAGCAGGGTTTAGGGCTGTTGTGCATAGGGTCGCTATGAGTCGCAAACGACTTGACGGCACATAACAACAACAACAACATATGAAGTGTTTCCTATAGAAAATACATAGTTTTGTTTGTTTTTTCTAAACCCAGTTTGGCAATCTCTGGTTTTTGGCTGGGTTATTTACTCTTATTGACTACAGTGTTATTATTAATACAGTTAGGCTGCTGTCTGCCGTTTTGTTTTCTGTGTAGCTCATGTCCCTTTTGATCCTGTTACTGTATTCTTTTGCACTAAGGAAACTCTGGTGGCTTAGTGGTAAGAAGATACACTGCAGTCCCAAAGGCACAGGTTCAAATCCACCACCTACTCTGTAGGACAAGGATGGGCAATCTCTTCCTGTAAGATTTACTGCCTCTGAAAACCTGTTGTAAAGTCAGCTGAGTTGATTGTGACTGGACGGCACCCAACAGTAACAGTTATATTATCCAGTGTGGCAGTTTAATGACTTTTTTCAGGACATACATTTTTAGTTACTTCTCTAGTGATGATGCAGTATTTATTGGATTCATCAGAGTCAGCTTCAGCTTTATTCTAATTCCATTGTTATTTAAAAATGCTAGTCCTATATTGATTGTATTCGGCCTCCTATTTAAAAAAGGCATGGGGTCAGCGGTATGGGCTGGCTTCCAGGTGGTCTGAAGCAGCCTGATTTCTACAGAGGTTTGATCTCATTTTCAGGTGAGACATAGGTGCAATGTTTATTAGCCACTGGGAGTGAACTGATTGTATTTGGCCTATTTAAAAAGGCCTCCGGAAACTCTATGAACTTGGAGAAATGATGAAAGTTATACAATTGTTCAGGTCTTTCATTCACAGGGTCATTCTAAGTAGTCTTCAAGTAGTCTATAACTCAACGGCATTTAACAACAATAGTCCTATGTAGCCAACTACCCTTTCTTTTTGTGGTTATTATTATACATAAGATATTCATACATATTCCAAACCTAAAAATACACTTACATGGTTTTGACATTTAAAGAAGTTGAAAGAAGAAATATTTATAAAGAAGGAATATTTATCGTTTTTGTTATGCTTATTATTTCACTATTGTGGATTTGAGTTGCCATATGAAGTAGTTTCCTGAACTCAATAAAACTTTGGTCCAACTCATGTCATCTGTACTCTTACAGGCAAATATATTACATTTCTGTATGTTATAGGCTGAACAGTATATTATATTCCTTTAATTTTGCAAAATTGCCTTTTAAATCAGCTAAGACATATGCATATTGTCTTTTATAACGACATAATTTCCTTTACCAGCGCTTTTGTGTGTGTGTATGGATTTGAATCTAGGGTCACTTACTGGGAAGAACTCGA